TAGATTTCGAAATGTTTGAATGGAAATGCCTAATCTGGCCATTTGAACTGATGAGACTCGGATTACTTGATTTTCAGGACGTCCTCAGTCATTACCTTGAGAATTTGGTGACTCCTGTTCGTAATGGAATAAGCGATCCTTCACCTGTTGTTAGATCAGCTGCTGCTGATACTTTCTCAGTTCTTTATCAGGTTGGTGAGGTGTACCCAAACTCATGTGAGCTTTTCTTCTCGACTGAAATGCTTCTGAAATTCCTCTCAAATACATAAAATAACTGAGGTTGATGCGAAAATTGCAACTAAGTATTACCAAGAAAATAAATATGTACAGATGGTTGGTCACGAAGCTTTGGATGAGATCATCACGCCACTGCTGGAGAAGTTGACCCCAGATAAAGAAGACGTTCTCGATGGTTTGTGTGAGATAATGAGACAGAACAGCAGGTAAGGCGTAATTGTCATTGCCTTCTTGAATTTCATCTGAGAACTTGTTTTTATTGCAGGCAGATGTTACCGTATTTGCTTCCTCGTCTCACACGACCCCCAATCAATGTGCATGCTCTTTGTAGTTTGGCTTCAGTGGCAGGTAATTGTGTTTGTAGTTTTGGAAGTTTTTTCCATCTTTATAATACAGTCCATATTATTGTGATTTACTATGTTCACTGACAACAAAGGTAAAGGTTTAATGGCTGTTTTTGAAGGAAGTTCCCTCTCACGACAACTCCCTCGTGTTCTGGATGCACTGTTATCTGCGTGTCAAACGAACGACCAGTATGATCCGGTGAGTTCCGTTGTGATTCTCCTCTGCAGTTTGATTAATCCAGCTCTGTTATTACGATGCTGATTGGGATATACTGTTTGCGCTTAGATGATCGACAGCTGTGAGAAGGTGGTGATAGCGGTGACGGATGAGGAAGGCGTGCCTGTGCTGGTAGACTATCTTCTCAAGCAAGCTAATAAAGGAAATGTGCCTGCGATTGTTCTTCTTCATACCTATGTCGCTAAGAGTGGTGTAAGTTATTTACTCATCTCTTCGTGTTTTTGATATTCGCAGACTTTTCCATATGAGTTTTTCGTTCAACAGGTTTCTCTCAACTACCTCATGAATGACCTGCTTCCTGGTTTATTACACTTGTATATGTCTCCAAATGCTCAAATTGTTGACCATGCTATTAATGCCGCCATCGGTGTAGCTCAAGCTTTGGATCAGAAAGAAATGCAGGTTTGTGAGCGTTTGTACTCATCCAAAGTTCTTTCATTTTTTTTCGGTTCATCATTTTTGGTTTTCGTTCTGACTACGGACAGCGGAATTTTTTTAGGAAGCTATTCCTGTTGTGAAAAAAGCTTTGAACTTCATTGTGGCTCAGTCTAAAGGCAAACCGATTCCCGGCTTTGCCCATCCCAAGGCATTACAACCGCTTCTACCAATGCTACGGGAAGCAATCTTACAAGGTTGGTTGAATGATCGATAATTTTTTGATTATGATTGAGTCAAGTGCCCGAATGCAGGAAATACGTTAATAAATGGTCTTGTTTCACTACGCACGACATGAAATCGTCGGAGGATCCTCTAAGGGATTGGGTCTGCCTCGGTGGGAGAAGAGGAAGGGGAGTATTCAGGTTTCTGATACGCAGAATTATCCCCACCTCTAGTTTTTTGAGAATTCCAGAGGTAGAGTTTTAAGTGTGCCATGTATTACGTAGTAGTTATCGGCACATGCACATCGTTGGCCGCTGAAATGTGGGAGAGCGCGTAATGGAAGGTAATGATGGAGAATGAATAAAGGGTCCTTTTCGGGGCATTGACAGTATTGGCCAAAATTCCCTCGACACACAGCTCTCGCAGGTAGTGCCTTCATTTCCGTAGTTTATGTTATTGTTTCTGAAGGTATGAAGGGAGGCGAGAACTGAAGATGGCTGCGAGAAGCTCTTGGCCAGATGGTTTCTGTGTCTGATGTATCTGCCCTCAAAGCTCATGTAGTCAACATCACCGGTCCATTAGTTCGAGTGCTCGGAGATCGTTATCCTCCAAATGTCAAGTTAGCAGTGCTTGAAACGCTGAGCAAACTGCTTGACAAGGTTTCCGTCTTATACATTGCTTGTAATTGCTTTTATGATACTTTTTTGAATACTGGCAGAGAAATTATGAGAATGATCGTTCTATTTCTTTAAAGGTCGACACATTACTTCGTCCGTTCCTCCCCCAACTACAGTCTACATTCCTCAAAGCCTTGCAGGATCCAACTTCGCGACCTGTGCGACTGGTTGCCGGAGGTAGAAATTTGTCAACGTTGCTGCTTCCCTCACCTTTCCACAAAATTTCCAATTTTTTTTCAGGAGCTCTCGCACGCCTGTTACGCATTCATCTGAAACCAGAGCCACTTGTTACTGAAATCCTGAAAATGCTGGCCCATTCACAAGACCAAGCTCTTCTGTAAGTAGGATGAATTATTGTTCTCTGCAATAGTTTTTATCAACAGGCTAATGGTTGCAGAAAGTTATTGACATGTTTGTGCTGTGGAAGAGAGGGGAGTTAGGAGCTCCTCATCGACTCACCGGAGGAAATTTTCCTCTGCCCCGGTTTAGGTGGCCATAAGTGTAAGAGGGCATAGAAGGGTAAAGGGATGATGATGAGTGACCCAATTCAATCTTTGATGCACCCCCTCTATTGTATTGTGCAAATAATAATTTCGATCATAATCTTAGTGAGGAAATGCTGACTTCTGCAACGCGGAAGGCATGCCGATTTTTTTTCTATACATACGAGTCATGGTACACCCATGTGGTAGCAGCTGATGCTTTTCCCACAACAGACTCATTTTTCCGCCAAGTGATTATTCATTTCTGTATCTCTGAAAGTTCCATCCATTTCGTATACATTGTCGCAGTTTACATCAAATCGGTGGGAAATCGATCTCGAATACGATCACATGTCATTCCCTTCCATTTAAGAGAAACCACGTTTGTTGCTGCTCGAGCGCTTGTTGGCAAAATTGCAAATCCGTTGTCTGAGGCAACCATACAAGAAGGCTATCGAGTGTGCGAACTCCAATACACGGTATGTTTTGATACTTATGCACTTTGTTTTCATCCGGATATTTATGAAAGCGCTTTCAAGGTGTCCCTGGATACTCCAACTGAGCTCGATACGTCACTAACTGTGTGCAGCGGAGCTCTGTATGGAGAGTTGGCGATAAGCGCGACGAAGGGAATTCTGCCCTTCGTAGAATATATTCTAGGTCAGTGGTTATGCATATATAAATATATATACAGGGGTGGCCAAAAAAAAGAGACACTTGACTCCACATTTCAGACAGCATTAATCACACTTTGCTAAAATCAAATCGACTGCCCCCAACTCAGTATTGAAGAGCACCTTCTAATCTATCTAAACCTTACATGACAGCCTTCTACACCGACGACATCAGAAGATTTTCCCACGGAAACATGGTTCACAGTATGAGCTCAACGGGGTCGACGAGGTACCATAGACCATTACGACGTTTCTGAAACGCTGGTCAAAAGCGGTTTTGCACAGTCACAGCTAATGTCTCTAGGAAGCTATTCAGCAGTTAATCTATTGAAGAAATTATGAAGCAGCTTCAGGCCGGAGCGATTACGGTAAGCCTCGTTGAGCTCGACGGTGGCGGCAGATGACGTCATATTCTAAAGACGGCGGGGACAGTGAAGGAGGGCCTGCTTCTGTTTACGGGGGAACACCTTAGGAATATTTCGCCGTAAAACTTTCATTAACATCGGCACCCTGTGCGACGAAAAGTTCGATGATGTGCGCCATGGGCAAAGTGTCTCTTTTTTTGGCCACCCCTGTATATAACCTGCAGATACTACAATGCACTGAACTCTCTGTTGCGTTGGCAAAACCTTTCTGGGACCGTATCCCATTGTTCTCCATGGGGAGGGGTATCCCTTTCAGTTTTTTTTGTCTATTCAGCCGAGATTGCCCTGAGGAAGGTCTACATATATGTAATGTATGTGTGTGTAAAAACGTGAACATGGTTCTGACCCAAGTTAAAGGAACACTATAGTGGTGTTGAACTCAGTAGATTTAAAGGGTATTCCTCGTTCCCTAGCCCTGGAGAAAATTTGGACCCCAAATTAGGGTTCAACTGGAGTTAGGTGATCTTTACTCCGCTCTTTTTTTTACTCTCGTCTTGCTGTTGACGAGTACTTTGTTCAGATGTAGAAAGCTGCTCAAAGCCACGAGTGAGGCATGCAATGGCAATAGCTCTGCAACAGATGTGTCAGGTAATTCTCTAACATGAGTGGTGAATAACTTATTCAGGGCTTAAAATACATTGGTGTTTCACTGATATTCTGCATTGATCGATCATAGCATATCATAGTGCGAAGGCTTTCCAAGACTACTTTTTGAACACAAAAACAGCGCTTCCGATTTTAGACTGATGCGTCTACCGTATGGGTCTGAAGCAGAGAGCGCTTGTCGATCAGCCCTCACGGCTGCATTCACTGCGGAAACTCCTGTTGCATGTGCCGCTTTACGCGCTGCGGCGCACATTCTTATCAGGTTGGCACTTGTAATTTTGTTGTTTTGAATCTATCAACAAATTTATAATGCTCTCCAAAATTGTTTTCATAACAAATCGTACAACATAAGCGAAGTTGGGCGCTATTTTAGTAAACTGCAACTAATACTGCCGAACTTGCAAGATTTATTATTATGCTTTCTTTTGTGTTCTTTTTGGTCTTCTTTCACACGAAGCACGCTGTGTAATCATATATTTAATATGGTTGGACAGTTTTTTGTTTTGTTGGAAGCTTAGGTGTGGAGAATCTGATATCTGATTGATTTTTGTGCTCTGCAGGTCGCCTAAAAAAGTTCAAGTGAAATGAAATAAATGAGGTAAAATATTCTAGTTTTGAAAAGTCGCTGGTTCTGTTTCAGCCAAAGTCCAAACGTCGATCGAGATCTTCTCGCGGCAGTGGGCCGATCACTCAGTCATCAGTCTGTTGAAGTACGACGAGTCTCTGCAGTGATACTTGGTCATGTCCTCCATTCTTCTCCTGAACAACTTGAAAGCGAACTCCTCAAGGTGATTTTTTGCAGATAAATTGTAGCAATATTCGGGTAATTCATTTTCTCAAAGTGGATTCGAATTCTAGTTGATTGTACCACATTTGGCAAACGGAGCAAAAGAAAGCAACTCTGCGGTTCGGTCGGCATCTGAGCTTGCGATGGTGTACGCTTTCCGCTTCGCTGAAGGCCAAGATGGCTTTAATGTATGTTTTTAACAATATCTTATCAAATGTTCATATCCTTTCTTTCTATTCGTACAGTGATTTTGAGCCTTTATTCATAAATCTTTTTTTTACTTGCAAGAATTTAGTCTCGTCAAAAAAGGCACAGAAGGTCTAAATAGTACAAAATAACTACAAAGTTTAATCGTAACGTGGTCGTTGTTAAGCTGTTAAGAACTGCGATCGACCTCAGTGCATCTTTAGAGTTTCTAGGGGGACGAGGGTATTTGACGCACGCATTTGCATGCGGTGCTGGCCAATGTCGAAGACTAAGTCAGTGACCAATTTCGAAACGGTGAAGCCATCTGCCGCCATGGGCGGATACCGATCCGCAAGCGAGACCCATAAAGTGCAGACCTGTAGTCTTTGTGACCTCTTGCCATCGAGTCTACTTGTTTTTGACAGTCAAAATGGGCGCAACAAATCTCTAGATCATGTGACAGTTCAGTTCTGGTTGGAAAAGACCTAATTATTGCAATTGCAGAAGTACTTGCAATCAGTTGAAGGAGCAGCAAAGATGGTGTTGAATGAGCTGCAACCGGCACTACGCCGAGTCGTCAAAAATGCTGATATGGCTCTAGAACCGATAAATACCATTTTATCTGTTAACTAATATTGTTAATGTTGTTTGCCTTGAAGTTCTTTCTGTAGAAGTTGGCAAGTTGTTGCGAAGTTTATCACGTGATTGTTACGTCGGTATCCGTTTGGGTGTGTTTCCTCCAGTGATTTCTTTTCAAATTTATGCCTTCTTTTCACAAGAACAGAATCTGTTCAATGTTGTGCTGTCTCTTGTGTTAGGAAAGCAGTTGTTTCACCAGATGTTGTTTAGATATAAAAATTCTATGGTAACGAATGTGTTGGTCTCATAACAAGGTTAGCTGGACATCTGCCTACTGACTTTCTGATACCTGAATTTACGCCATTCTTGAGGAGCATGGTGATTTCTTCAGTCACACTTCTCATGAACATTACGTGCCGTCGGCTACTTTGGCGGATTACAAGGCGCAAGGTATCGCAACTTGCTCAACTTTCACGCGAAGAGTTCCAACCGGTGATCGGATTAGAGGTGAGAGTGCTCCAAGTGTTGTAATAATTCTCAGCTAAGTAGTACCTATGTTATTATGTTCACACGAATGTAGCGTAAGGTAGATGGGTGCGCTGGGCTCCCTTATAATGTTTCCATGAACGTAAAGGTCTTTCCTTCAGCCTTTTTATATGAGTCAGAAATGCAGTTTTTGGATGCGCAGGGGGAAAATGATTTGGTTGACGGGAAATGCGAGGAAAACTGGCATATGCTATAGGAAGTTTTTTCACTCAGGTAACCTGTATCACCTGTCACCTGTCGTCCCGTTGATCATCGAATTGCTCGAGCGGGCGCCAGCAACGTCTCCATTCGTCCCTGTCGCGTGCAAGAGTTGTCCAGTGGACCCTCCTCGCTCGAGGGACACGATGTCCTTCATTCCTTTCGTTCAGAGCTTTCGTGAAGAAGTCTGACCATCGGGCCGGCGGTCGTCCAGGTGTTCGTTTGACGTCCCGAGGGATCCAGTCGGTAACCGCTCTGGTCCAACGGTCATCGCAAAATCGCATGACGTGTCCGGCCCACCTTATCTTCGATTCCTTGGCGAAAACGGCAGCGTCCCTGATCTTCGATCGTTGGCGTAGTTCGGCACTCCGGATTCCCCTCTGCACTTGCGTGTATAGGGTTACTCCTAGCATCGTCCTCTCGACAGCGCGTTGGATAACGCTGACCGCATGCTCGTCCTGCCTGCGCAGAGTCCAAGTCTCTGAGGCGTAGGTTAGGGCAGGAAGGACAGCGGAATCGAAGAGGTGGGCACGGAGCCGGATGTTCTTCGTCTTCTTCACTACTCCCTCGATGTTCTTATACGCTCCCCAAGCCGCTCGTTTCCTCCTGCTCAGCTCTGGAGCTAGATCGTTCATCATATTGATTTCCCGACCTAGGTACACGTAGCTGGAGCATTCGGTGATGTTCGTTTCCGTTTAGGTGAGCGTTATTACGTCCGTTTCTCATAAACATCGTCTTCGTTAGGTTCAGCTGCAGACCAACCTTACCACAGGCGCAGTCGAAATCAGCCAGCATTCGCTCCGCTTGCTCGATGTTCGGCGTTATAAGAACGATGTCGTCAGCAAAACGAAGGTGGTGTAGTTGCCGGCCGTCGACCTTCACTCCCATGTCTTCCCATTCCAGTTGACGCATGACGTTCTCGAGAGCGGCGCTGAAGAGTTTGGGCGAGATGGTGTCGCCCTGTCGGAACCCCTCTCTTGACGTCGATGATGACCTCCTTGTAGAATGGTGAGATTCTGGTCGTAAAAGTTGCTGTAGAGCTCACGAAGAATCTTGATGTACTGAGTAGGGACGCCCTGGTTGCCCAAGGCTTCGATGACCGCTTCTGTCTCCACAGAGTCGAAGGCCTTCTTCAAGTCGATGAACGTGAGACAAAGCGGCATCTTGTACTCTCGTGAAACTTCAATGAGTCTTGTAACCGTGTGGATATGGTCGATCGTGCTGAACCCTCTTCGAAACCCTGCTTGCTCGCATGGCTGTCCTTCATCTAGTATTCTGCCGATCCTGTTAAGGATGACTCGAGTGAATAGCTTATAGATTACAGACAGCAGGCAGGTCTCCATATAGACGGAACAGCCGTGTGCCGCCTACTGCCCCCATTGGTGCACCGTTTCCATTACTCACCAAGATCATGTTAGCCTTGTTCTGTTTATTTGCATATCGTTGATAAGGGCTAGCACCAGGCCTTCAAGGGCATTGTACAGGTGAGCGGGCTGCTTCCCACATACCATTCTCTGCTTTTAGCAGGGTTGAGTACAGCCTTTTTGTAATAGCGGTACATATGAATATAGCAACTATTTCCTTTTGTGTGGCCCGTCCACGGAACGGACGCGTGATTGCGCGATGGCCGCAGTTGCAATGAGTTGTTTGTAAACAGCGGCCTCACTCCCAGGGAAATAAGACAAGAGAGCGAAGGAGCAAACCGCACAGTAAAGAAAGTACTTCCAAACGGACTGCCACGTGGGCATATTTTCAGCCGCAACTGTTTCATTCCATTTTTGAGCTTAAGTTTATGTTGGTGGACTAGTGCATTACAGCTCTGATAAGCTTGGACCAACCAACTTCCAAAGGGCAAATTTCGCGATCAACTAGGTGTAGGTTATCTCGTATAACTTCGAGAATGAATGTGCCCACATATTGCTCTATCAGGATGTAAGAGAAAAGAATCGTTGAGGATTGTGGGATCAGTTTGAGAGCTAATCGTTGGGGCGAAGTTTACGCCTACCCTACTGGAATCTCTTTGATCACTCCTTTCTCTTGTATGTTAAAAGACAACGTACAGTAACATAAGATGGGACCAACCGAACGCATGGTCTCATAATGCCACTGTGTAAACTTCGCCCTTATGAGCAGTCGTAGCTTGGGATTCTGAACAGTCTCGCGTAATTCTTGCCTTTTTCTCGTTACGGTTACACCAATCACCATAATTTGTTCAATTTTCGAGCACAATAATACACGCCTTTTTAATCGCGGAATGTGTCTTTAATCCCATCAATATTTCCTTCAGCAATGCTTTTGATGACATAGTTGTTTCAGGTTCACGTCCAGCTGAACACGAAAACTAAATTGTTCTCACGAGCACCATGTACTGATGATGCTACTCCAAACAGCCAAATTGCTGCTTTCGACATGGCCACACCGGGAACTCTACCAATGCTTAATAAAAGCTGTTTGATGGTGAGAAAGTGCAGCTTCCTCAACTTGGTGGCAGGAGCAGCCTTCCGTTAGGAAACGTGTTCGTGCTCACAAGCAATGGCTTTTGTTTCATTAGTTCAAGTCTCTCACGCAAACTTTCTTGAATCGTAGTCGACTCAGTTTCAGCATGCATTACGAATGGCAGTACTTTTGAACTGCGAGATCCCTCCTTATTGCCGATTTGACAGAAAGCATTATTTCTATGCAGACATGCCAGCTGGGTAAGGTGTTATCTCACTTGAGGTTGGAGTCCAAAATCACGTCGCTTCTATAACGATGTTATGCTGTTCCCTGGGGCAATCAGATTCGAGTACTGTTTTGTTAGTGTAGTTATCAAATTACGCAAGCGGGAGCAGCAGTGGCTCGAAATGGGAAGTTCGCCTTTTCAGTTTATGGCGAGGACATTCCGACATACAAATCAAGGAGGTTGGCGCTGCTCTTTTTTCTTTCTACGTGCTTTTATCTTATCTTCTTTTATCGTGGTTTGGTGAACAGATTATTAGGTTTTGCTCTCATAGTTTTTACTTCTTTATATGTTGCTAGCTTCGATCGTACCGTAATAGTATCTTCCTATACAAACCGGCTGTCTTTAAAGACTGTTGCAGTTTGACCTATTCCCAGCTAATTTTCGTATATGAGGTCGGAATTCAACTCGTGCGTAGCATTGCGGCCGGAATCCGGTCATAATGCGCATCGTTTGAATTGAATTTACACTGTCAAATAGGTTTCGAATTTGGTCACCAAAACTTCATTAATGATGACAAAGTTGATAAGTTGATTAGATATGGTTTTGCGATACACACCGAAATTGGCGCATCTCCGCAGTTTGGATCCGATGATTTATATCTGGATGTGGAAGGAGTAACGGAGCGCGAGTAATGTAGCTATTAACATGGTAATCGAGCAGCACAATCAGCTCCAGATAAGAAGGGTGAAATGTTTGACATTGATTCCTCCCTTCTCGGGATGCGGCGCCACGTTTTCTAGTTCCATTCAAAATCGCAGTGGCTTTTTGGGCGATTTGGTCCATACAATGAGTTACGGGGCTGATTGATATTGACATGAGTGTTTTTTTCTTCCCAGAGGAGTATGGCTGCCATTTGAATCACTCTTCGACGCGCATGAAGGGCTTGGCTATTTGGGCGGCGCACGATTTAAGATTTGATCCCCGGACCGCGCGGTCAGAAGCAGCGCCACTTTCCACTACACCACTTCCGCCCTGCAGCTTTGATTTTGCTGTCAAGTTATGAAGGACGAATAAAAACATGTTCTCTGGAATGTATGGAACTTTGGCGTGGCAATCAAATTCATTTAAGGCTTAATTAATGTTAAATTTGATAGGTTGGGATCACACAGTTGCAACTAGAACAGGACAGTGGAAAAACGATCCACTTTGGCAAGTCATCTCTAATTGATCTCAATCGTGCAGGTGAGATTCAGCCCATGTGCTTGAAACTCTAATTCATTTTGCAGTAGCCCCCATCTCCATGGACAGCGGGGGTTAAACAGCGGTTTTCGTAGTAGTCGCATCAACTATGCCTTTGTTCAATTTATTGCATTACAACTAACAACTACAGTCCAAGCTCATTTTGATGCGTATTGGCAGGTTTTCTCCAGAGCTCTTCTCACTCCGATACTCCGACGCGCGTTAACCTTAATCTCAAAGGATCTTCATGCACGTGCCTCTTTTGCTGCTTAGCAGTGACAACGACCAGTTGTTTTTTCGAGCCAGAGACCAGGATTTTGGAGGAGGAAAATTTTGATTTGCATGGTGAGGCCTTTCGTTTTAGCGGATGAGAACCTAAGTTCACCTACCCCGGAGCTCCTCTCCGCTTTTGAAAACTCTGCATTCCCTGCTCGCAACGGGTACTTCGCACCATCCAGCAAAAAAAAAACCGCTAGCAGTTTGTGACTTTGAAAGACTCCTTTAGCAAAATGAAGGCGGCTCGAGACGTAAGCTGGCGCTCCTGTACTGTCCCGTCAATTGCGAAAAGATGCTTCCCTATTTAATTGTTACTAATCACTTTAGCACCTACCGCCTTCGTTATACCCTTCTATCTACGCTTCGGCCTTATCGGTTTGAACGCCCTGTTTGATTGCTGGTAGTTTTTACAGGCGCACCACTGGTGGAGGTTGTTAGTGAGCCGGATTTTTCAACAGCATTGGAAGCAATGTGCTTTGTTCAGCAGCTTCGTCTAATTCTCATGCATCACGGCATATGTCGAGGAGAAATGCATAGTACGGTAACAGCAGATTTCCAAGGCTAACTGGCCAACTGAGAAATCTGGCCAGAATTTTGTGGTGGCAGAAACATCCTGCGTCGCAACAGTAATTGTACAGTATAATTATAGTGAAATTGATTGTTCCACATTTTGATCATCTCCGCTTGTTTTTAGACATTTAATAATGCTCTAGGGTATGAAAAATTCACCCTTAAGGGACTGAACATTAGTCCCTATAATCATAAAATCGAAAAATAAAAAGGTGGGGTGAGATTCCGACTTTAGTCAGTCATTTTTGGGCCATGCCCACGCGTTTTGTACCTACTCAGAATCGTAGTGGTTGATACGGTTTGAGCCCTATAGCAACGTACATAGACGAGGAAGTTGGAGGGTGAGGGTGGGCAACGATCAACCAGTTAGTGTTTTCATCTCTCCGGACAGCCTGGTACAATCAATCGACCCCGAAAGCATGGAAGTTCTATTGGCCTCGACATCGTTTACCCCGATATGTGATTTTCAGCTTGTGCGTAGTGAGTAGCACCACGTGCCACCCCACCACTTCCCCCTACAATGGGATCAATTTCATGAAGTTTACCAAATTCCTAGTTCTAAAACCAGATTTATTTTTCCAAAAAGAAAAAAAAACTTGCACTCTCAGCTGATCTGATAGGTTCTGCAACAATTTTCATTGTTTTCGCTATTTAAAGTGATTTCTGAAAGCTTGGAGCACCTTACTAGATGTGAGAGAGTATACATGTGTGTTCGTTAATTGTCTACTAGAAAGCATTCCGAACTTCTGATCAACTTTGTTGTTTTCAGAAGGGCATTTGCGCGTTGATGCGAATGTATCCTTATCACACGAGGGAGAAAAAGGAGTCAGAACAGAGGTAAATATTAGAATATCAGAAAGAATTCCAGTGAAAAATCTGGTTTCAATTTCATTTTTGTCGCCATGCTAGAATTTGTGATATCGGCAAGTATTCTGAATTACAACTGAGAACATCTCTATGAGTTGATTCAACTGTTTCATACCATACACACTCTTGTTTCTATCAACACTTGCGAATTTCTCGAAAGTCGATTTCAGGTGAAGAATATCAACAGTTTGCGGCATTTACATACGGCTATCAATTACGAGATAAATCGGCAGTATGAGGTGATTTCGAGCGGAAATAGAGTGGTCAACGAGACGAGGACATGTGATGAACACGGGTAAGCTCAACTAAGAGTTAGAATATAAATTACCAGATAAGCATTACTTCTCGCGATTGAAATTTTGAAAATAGCAGATATCAAGAAATTTATGTAAGGCATGATTTGACACTTCTTTTTTTGAGGTTCATGTTCCAGTGCGTGCAAACCTCGATAGTGGGTGCCTAAGATAAAACTATAGGTGCTAAATGGCCGCGCTACCTGAATGAAAAGACCAGCTAAAGCCATTCTTGTTAAAAGCTTATTACACATGATGGACTGAGTTATTTTTGAAAATATCTCTGATCATGAAGATAAGCGAAGTTTGGCCGCGTTCATAGTACGCGACAGTGGAAAAAATATATATTGACGTAATATCCATGTCCAGTCAGCGCAATATCCTACTCCACTACTATCCTATCTTCGCCTAATCCGGAATCTCACCAAGATCGGCGAACTATGATCGGCTGTCTTACATAGATGAGATGATTTCTTTTCCTAAGTTCGAATAAATGCCAGCGTAAGGTAAGAAAGTGGCTAACTCAGACTTGGAACAAGAGAATGGTCTAGACGACAGGGCAGGACAGGAAGGAAGTGCAATCTGGCGTCAGCTGGACGGATTTACCCTACGCCCAGTCAGATCTAGACGGCCGCCACCAAGCCCAGCATAGCACAGTTCCAATCCGGACTCCTCCAATGGTAAGTCACTATGGGCCAAACTTAAGGTCTTGACTGCTAGTTATTCCTGGATAAGGCTTTAGTCAGAACCATGTATTTTCTATTTTTTTCAGACTTTCGATACCATATTTGTTCCATATTACATTACAACTGTTTCTTATTTTTCTGTATTATCTAGGCGTACGGTATCCATGCGAGATAAGGAGGAGATCACGGACTATCGTTTTATTCCTGAACCCAATCTACCTTATGTCAGAGTAACTTTACGTAAAATTCAATTTCACTGTTATTCTAGATTTTTTTTCGGCATTTAGCAGTTTTTGCTTTGTTTTGTATGGAGGTGTTTTACTTTTTCTGCTCAGATCCGCCCAGAATGGGTAACGGAATGCAGAGAATCAGTTTCGTCTGAGCCAAGCTATATGAAGTATCAGCAGTTGGGCTTCGAGCCAAGACTGTCAGTTCATTATGCGGTGAGTTTTCTGCGATGTTATGGATACATAAATTGCAAGGCACGCATCCACGAATGATCTAAGGGCGATCAGTTCCCTATGAATTTCATAGGTAAGAAACTATTTGTAGAGGTATAAAATTTGCTGTTCTAATAAGCTGGCAACGGCGCGACGGCACGGAGCTTATTATTTGGGCTTCGGTTACTTCGTGGAATTCCGACGACAACTGCAATCTCTCTCTCTCCCCCCCCCCCCCCTCCCATTGCTGAGGCGGGTGTCGTGTGTCTCGCTCATCCCTGATCCTCTCTTGGTCTGGAATCTGTTTCCTTGCCTCGACGCTCAATGTCTCCTCATCCACCCATTCAGCGTCGGAGGAAAAAAGAGGTCCTTATTCTCATTGTATTCGGTTGGCCGTGAATCGTGCCTAGAGTTGTGTCTACGGCCGCACTGATCTAATCTCAAAGCTCTGGGATTGTATGCACCGACCGACGCAGAGACCGCCCGTCCAAGTTGTGGCACAGTCGCATGGTAGCGCCCGGGGTGCTTTTTTGTTCCGGTGTATACGTACGTTGTCTCGCAATCAGTGTCATACAAAACGATCGCATGGCTAGGAAATGGTATGAGCGCTTCTGGACGAGGCCGTTCACAATTCATGTTCCCTTGTATAACCCACCCGGGTTCACGCCTCCTATATCCTATCAAGCTCTAGGTTATAGTTAGCAATGGTCCCCAAGTAGTGAAAAGGCTTGCAATGAGTACAGTCTGAATAGTCTACTAGAGTCCTGCTGATGGACGAGATCCAAAATATGGCTGGATGATACCCTCTACTTTATTTTACCCTTTACTGCCCCCCCCCCAAAGCCTAGGCCAGATTTATATCGAAATTTGTCCATGACTGTAGATTTGGCTCCGAGGTTGCCCCGGTAGTTCAACCCATAGAACACAGATATCACGTTCGTTTGGCGCGAGGCCTGACGCCATTGCCACGAGTGACGGCGCTAGAAGACCATTCATTCATTGAATGCCCCGGAAAGTTGTCTTCAGGGGTAGTTTGACCCATAGAACATGATTATCACATAGTTTGTTACGAGTGAGCTGTAGCCTGCGCTACAGCGCCCGCGCAAAACTGTTGTGATAGCGCCGGCGCCTGTGGCGCGGGCGCCAGGTTTTCGCGCTGAACAATATGATAATTGTGTTCTACGGGTTAAAATATCCTTTGGAGCCACTTTTTAGCCAAATCCCCAGTCATGGGCAAATTTGGGCGCTATCGCAATATGCGGGGGCATTGTGGTGGCAGTGCATCTAAAACCGCGTAAGACGTGTCTTTTTGTTAAAAACGGGACAAAGCCTTGGGCGGCGGGAGTGACTCCAAGGTGCGTCGCCATTT